AATTACGGAATATTTACGAGACTTAACTAGACTTACTAATTTATCAATTTACATTGAATCACCATCATGGACTTTTATCAACTAGTTGTAACTTTTTTTTTTACGAATTTTAATTTAATCTTTAAAATTTATAATATAACATTTATATGTTATAATTTTTATAATTGATCGCAATATTTTAGAATTGATCATAATTTACAGTTCAAAAAATTATAATATAATCTTAATAAATTATAATTTTCAGTACGGTATTTCTCTCAATACCGTAGTCTTGATATGACTAAACCCATGAATGAAATAATTGTGGAATTATATTCCGGGCTTTAGTAAAGAATTCATTATTTTTAGGCTTTGGTGATAAGTGGCGGTTGATAACTGGCTAGCTTACATGATCTTCCGATGGTCCGCAAAGTACTATAGTAAACTCTCCAGATATTTTCTTGCTGACATGGACACACTATGGGAGACTCTCATGTCAAAACAATTCATTATGAGGACATTTTCGTCATAAGAAGAACACGTTACCACCGCTATGGGTCTTCTTAAATTATCCGCCACATGACCCTTTCTTAAATTATCCGTTTGGTAAATGAGTTGATTTAATATAACATGATTAATAAATAAATTTGGTATAAGTTAACTTAATTAAAAATATATATAAAATGACATATATATATACCAATTATGCAAAATTCATATATAACACGAACTCGATATAATAAAATTTGTTAGACACGAATTAATAAATAAATTAGACATATATAGATAAAATATTTTTTGATATTAACCCATTAAAACTTAGATACGAACTAGTGAACGATTGACAAATTTAATTGTAACATTACACTAACTCAATATTGTCAAATAGTATCATCATTAAATAATAACTCAAATAAATAAATTGAACTCTATTTTTTTACATGAAGTAATTACTATCTTATATGAAAAAAATAGTTATTGGAAGAAGTGAGGTCCGTCTTGTCCACTTATTAAGTTATTGTTGAACGATTAAATCACTTGAAAATACTGATGTGGTGTACTTATTACAAATAATATTTTAACAAACCTTTTAAGAACAAAACGTATGTTGTAGTCTATTTTTACCATGAAAATAGACGATGTAAAAGCATTCGTAGCGATAATTATTATATTTCATAAATCGATTGTTATTAAATTGTATTGTGTTCGATGACTAAGATATATATATATATATATATATATATATATATATATATATATATATATATATATATATGGCATTCACTTGTTTATTTACGGGGCAGAGCCAAAAAATTATTTTAGGGTGAGCACTATATATTTTAACAAGCTTAATTTTTTTTAATTGATAAAAATAGAATAATGCATTTATATTTAATTATACCATATTTAATTGTTAAAAGTTTATTAAATTTAAAAGACTAAAATTGTTAAGCACAGTAGATACAAATGACAATAAAAAAAAGTCTAATTATATTATTTTACCAAATAAAAGTTAATCAAAACTATTTAGAATTGATTTCAATGAATTTTTATACGTTGAAAGTATTGCATTAACTTTATTATTATTTATATCTACAATCACATTATCACTTACTTATTTATTATTCATTCGATTACATAATAAAATATATTATCTATTATGTCGGTGATAATGACCAAAACAAATGTTAAAATTATAAGTAAATTCGTGGATATATCATGCCTTTTCTAGTCTTGGATCCAAAAATAGGGTGGACACAAATTAATATATTGAAAAAAAAACTTAAAATATATAAGTAATTTAAAAAAAAAAAAAATTGAGGGTAGATATATGGCCCCCGGGCATAAGGTGGCTCTGCCTCTGGTTATCTATCATTGAATAGTTACACCGCGTGAGATGCTAATGTGTGATAGCCATTGCATTAAATATTTTTTTTGCCAATTTGGGCTCATCTTACATTCCTAAAATTGACAAGGTAATATCCAATGCAATAATGATATCACATTATCATTGTCATTTGATATAATTATTCAATAATATTATAGTAAATAAGCAATTCTATTTGGACCTAATTTATTAACTTAATGTGCTAACTTAATTTAGTATAACCCCTAGATTGACTAAGAACTCCATCAAACATTAGAGCTTGATGTTAATTTAATAATTACAATGAAACTACATCATTAGATTATTAAATTATATCAAATTTTTAGATCTACCAAAACTAAATACACATAGTAAACTTCATTTTCTTGTATGTGGATAGTTATTAACTTACACGAGGACGAATACGTAATTATAATATTATATGAAAGAGTGGCTTTTGATTTGTGGTGCTTGTGATGAAGTTCATTTATTTATTTGTTAACATAGTATTGAATAGTGATAGCGTGACCAAAATAATGTAATATCACTTTTGCATCAAATATGTTTTCAAGTTGAGTTTGGTCTTTGAAAATTTAGAGGTATTAGATTTAATTTCTTTCCACATCTTATAAGGGTTAACCATGTTTTTTCTTCAAGAATATGTTCGATTCTAGCTCATGTCACGGTGGTCGTTGCTAAGTTCGAGAGAGTAGACAAAACAAGCTTGAACACCCAGCAGTAAAAAATAAAAAGAAAAAAGAAAAATTTTAGCCACACCATTTATAGTTTATCATATGTTTAAGGATATCCGTTCTAATATAAAAAACATCACTGACACCTCTTTTAGTTTATATTTGAACATTACGTATACTCCCCACTATTAAACCACCATTTATAACAAAAATAAATTATCTTAAATACTAAAATTATCCATACATAAACCCTAAACAATATTTCTATAAAAATTTGATTAAAATTTATTTTTCAACATATTAAAATTTAAGTTGATTAAATTTTATTTTTTAACGTATTAAAATTCGAGCCAATTTGATCTGATAGCCCCGATTAAAATTAGTTTCAAATTGATTAAATTTTTTATTTTTTTAATTAAATTCGATTCAAGTTAATTAAATTTTATTTTTTACGTATTAAAATTTGAGTTAATTAAAATTCATATGTTTTTTATGTATTAAAATTTGGACCGAATAAAATTTAATGCTAATTGATTAAAATTTGATTTGAGCCTCAAATCGAATTTTAATACGTAAAAAAATATAATTTTTAATTAACTCAAATTTGAACACATAAAAAGTAAATTTTAATTAGATCAAATTTTAATCGGCCTAAATTTTAATACATAAAAAAATTTAAAAATTAGAAGGGACCTTATTGAAGATATGTCTATCTATAAAGGATATGAATGAAATTTTTCTTAAAATATATCACGAGAAATTTAATAAAATTGTATTTTAATTAATATTTTTAATCTAACATAGATGTTAGTGAAGATTAAAAATATAAAGAAAGTGTCCTCAAAGATATGATAGACCAAAAAGGGGTGTGATTGAAATTTTTCCAAATAAAAATCTCTAAAACGACGTCTTCTCTCTCACAGTCACAATTTCTCGTTATCCCGAAAAGTAAGAGCTTTAAACGATTCCACAGTTGACACGTGTCACATATCATATCTGAAAAATCACACTAGATCCGCCCCGAAATACTGAGAGCCCGTCTTTAGATTTCGCTTCACGTCACCAATGTTTTCGTCCTACGTGGAATCGGACATGGCACTTCTCTCGCTCTCTCAGCCTCCACAATGTCCACATCAGCAAATTCTAGAAACAATATAATATAATATCTCACCGCATATTTCTGTCTTTCTCTCTCTCTTTCTCTGCCTCCTTTAGCTTCGATGCTTATGAACCAGTAAAAACCCTCTTTTGCCACATTTCACAAGCAAACCCTAAAAAATCTTTGCGGTTTTAGTTTTTGCATCGACTCAATGAATTTTAAAGCGGATTTGTTCTTCTGATGTCTTTGATTTGCGAGATTTTACGGTTGAGCTGTGAAGTGAAATATCTGTTCTTCAGCAATGAAGTTTATAAGGTAATTAATTTTCGTAAACAAATCTAATTTTGCCTATGCTTGATGTTAAAAAAATATGTATTTTGTTTCCTCTCAATTCATTTTTCTTGTTGAGAGTTTTGATTTTTGATTTTTGTTTTTTTTTTTTATAAATTCCAAAATTTGTTTGAATGCTGAGTGTTTGAGTGGGACTAAAAGAAACAAAGTTACGATTTTCTAATTTTGTACTGGAGCTGTACGATTAAGAGTCTAAGTCGACGTGCCTTGCTCATTTTGTTGAAACTTGAATAGCTTAAAGCGTTATATCTTAGTAGCTTTTCTCTCTTCAGATTTCAGATTTGCTGTTGCAATTTTTTTGAATGTAAATTAAGTGGTCTTGTATTATTCAAGGCCTTAATAGAAAAAAGGCTTCAATTTATTTACTCTGATGCTAGAGTTTCTGGTGTTGTATATTGCATGGTATTATGCATTTCTTACAAAAGGTAGGCGTCAGTTATAGTGCTATGTCTTTTTTGTGAGATATTTAGGGAAGTGTAATTAGAGAGGGGACTTGTATTGTTTAGTTTCAACTTTAAAAAGGGTCATTACCCAATTGTCTCCTTTATTCGAGGTAATCGGAAGGATAGATTGGATTCAGACCTAGTCTTTTATCATGCATACAAAGAACCTGCCCTGTATTCCAACCACAACCTCACGGTTGTGAGCGTGTCTCTAGTACTCCTGCATATGTTGGATAAAAGTTGTGATTTTAGGTATCACCATTCGTATTTTATTTTGTTCTGTTTTCATGGCCAATTAATGGTTTTATTTTTTTATTTTTTTCCTTATTTTCTTTTAATCCTAATGAGTCATCTCAAATTTTTTGATTATTGGTGGTTGTAGATCATGTTTGGCTTGTTATATTGAAATTTATTCATTAATCTGGTTTTGGATATTTTTGAAGAGTTGCTGTTTGAAAAGGTAGGAACTTGAAGACAAACGGTATGTGCAACTTATATTATAAATTGGAGGTTTTCTTGCCAACTTAATCCAGCTCCTTATTCGTCATTGGTCTTTTTGAGTCTGGTTGATGAGGGGTATTTGCGTGGACACCAATGGTACTGCCACTAAAGGGTTCTCGGAACTTGCGTACCGTATGCGGGATCAGCAGAAGGAGGTGAGGGGTGGCATTGTCAGTGATGGGCAGGGCCCCTTGGAGGAAGATGAGTCAAGGATCAATGAGGATGCTGAAGACATAAACAATGGGCACATAGAGTTGCTTCCTGTCCAGGTCCAGGTCAAGGCCAAGGCTCAGGCCCACGACCAGGACCAGGCTGTTCTGCAGAGGCAGCAGGAACAGCCTCCAGGGCCTCAAGGATCAGTGGTTCACTGGGAGCAGTTTCTGCCTCGTAGGTCTCTTAAGGTGCTGCTGGTGGAAAATGATGACTCGACTCGCCATGTTGTCAATGCACTGCTTCGAAATTGCAGCTATGAAGGTCGGCAACTCCTTTTCTATATTTTCTTATTTTGGATGCTTATGAGCATTGACACTTATTATTACCAAGCATGAAACTTGAGGATGATCTTTTCTAGTATGTGTGAAAAGAAGCCTATTTGTTCATATAGATGTCAGTGACACAAGTCTGGTTATGAATACTTGACTTTCATAGATCTTTGGACGAATATATGACATTCCACAATGTATGTAATGGATTTTGTCTTGGAAAGTCTGCAATTACTTAAGTGCGCAACTTGATGGTTTTTGCATTGTTAGTTGCGCGGAGTTGATGTTTATTGTTTGGGTATTGTCATTAGTAAAATCCATATTTATTTTGATGTAGTCAAAGCTGAAGTCCATGCATTTTCTGTGAGGCCAGAGGTTTCCTGTCAACTTATGACATTATATAACTCATGGAAGTGCTTCAGCCTTCATGATCACACACTATCTTGTTATATATGTAAATGCAATTGATGTTTCCCTAGCACATCAATTCCCACTAACTAACCCATTATCTGTGGCCTTCAATTCAACAAGACACAAACTTCCTTGCTGTCCAGGATATTAGTAGGCACTTCTTCAATTTCCACCAACCTATCAATTTTGAAAACAAGCCGTGACTTGTAGGAGAGTGATGTCTAGCTTCTCCGTATCAGTTTGGTATTAGAGTTGAAGATCCAATTCTTCGTCAACTTTTTTCTTTTCATTATTTGCTTTGTTTTCATCTAAGCTTGAGACGTTCTCAAACGTTTGTTGAACTACCATGATAACTTGCTATCATTGTCAACATCTTTCGGCGAATCCCAACTTGTTATGGTGGAATTATAGTCTGGTCGACCTTCACACCATCAGCCAAGAAAACATGTCTTGAAAGATCTATTACATCCCGTACAAGATAATTTTCAGAAGTTTCAACCACCACCCTTTATTCTCCATTGGACTTATTTGGTACTTCTCCGAGGTTTGGTTGGATAACTCCAAGAGCTGAGTATGTATGGTCTGGTACTCTTTTTTTGGGATAATGTATTTGGTAATTCTTCAAGTACATCATATTTAATCATCTCTAAAAGACATTTTGACACTATCCCACAGTGATTGTTTGTGGCTTTTTTTTTTTCCTCATTCCTCTCTCCATACTAACTACTAATAAGGTCTTCAATTTCTAAATGACAACATAGGCTAATATTATCTTTTGCCTTTCATTATGTCCAATGAGCATTCTACTAGGAAATTTTAAACCGGTTTTTGCGTCCAACAGTTACCCAACATTTGAAAGAAACCTGTAGGGTGCTTTATTATTTGCAGTCAACCCTGTAAATTTTTTTCCCTTTTTAATGGTTACCTTAGTTTATAGGAGGATTATAGTAGAGGCTTAATAGGGCGGTTGGGAAATAGTTATGTGGCAAAGTTAGAAATAGCTGGGTGGAGTATGGTTCTGGATGCCAAATTTAAGGCTTTATAGATAGGTTTTCTAAAGTTTTGGAGGCAGGAACATTTACATTTAAGGTGGTTTGAGGTTGATTGTGGATAGTTTGAGAGGAATAGTAGGAATGTTTTGGGCTAAGGATGTCAATGTCAGGTACTAGTCCACTCTGAGGTATTCTTTTTTTTTAGGTTAGGGAGGGAACCTCAGTTACCTAGGTTCCCTTATGAAACTAATACTAGAAAGGTCTGCTCCCAAAAGAGGTACAAGGCAGTTAGAGGAGACTCCAGTTCTACATATTGTTCCAGTTGGCTTTTCCCTGGGTTGGCTGTGCAGCCAGTGCATTGATTCCCCTCTCTTATGGTGTGCATCAGTCTGATATTGTTGTTCTTCAGGATATACTTGCAATTCTGTATTAGCACTTTGAAGGGATGACATCCCTCTGGATTTCCAGTTAGTAGGTGGAAAACTTCCATAGAATCTGTCTCTAAGACGCAGTTTCCAAATCTTCCCTGGACCATCAGTAGTTCCTCGTAGGCTGCCCACAATTCTGCTCGCAGACTTGATGTATAGCTAATTTTCCCATAAAAGCGTCTAATCCAGAATCCTCTATCGTCTCTAGGGATGCCTCCAACCCCTGCAGATCCTGGGTTTCCTTTGGAGCATCCATCAGTGTTGATCTTGTGCCAACTTGCAGGTAGGAAATTCCAGCCAATTAGTAGGGTTGTACAGAGCATTTTAGAGTTCTGTACCTACTGAACGTATCAAGATATTCCTGGGCCAGCATCCTGACTTTCCTGGCTACTATGTGGGCTTCAGTTTTTGTTTTATTAATGTATTCTCTGTTTCTGTCCAACCACATGCTCCATAGGATAGACAGGAACAGCTGAGGCCATGGAATACCGTTCCAAAGGATGTTTGCAGTATATCTGAGGTATTCTGAAAGCAGTATATCTATTCTACTGGTGCTTTGGTCAATTCATGTTACCCAGTGCAGGACATAGATAATGTACATTCAATTTCCTTACCTGGTGGGAGGATTTAGTAGTGAGGACATGGGTATTTCTTTTTTCTAGTTACACCAGCAGTCGCATTAATATCTCTATGCTGCCTTCCCTATATTAATATACTGATTGATGTTTTACAATAATTAAAATGTAAAGCAGTTAATAAAGAAGATAAGAAATTCAAATGTGAAGTAGTTATCCAAAAAAGTTGGAAGTGGTTACATAGTCCACATGGAAAAATTCAATTGGAGTATGCCTTTACATTACAATTAAACAATTCAAAACTAGGAGAAAATAGGATTTAGGAGGGAAATAGTATAGATTCCTTTCTTATGTTTCGTACAAAAGAAACAGTTGGATTACAGCTAATGGTGTTCATGAGACAAGGATGAATTATCTGCAAAAGGAATCAAGCGTAAATGGTTCATATATCCAGGTAATGGTAGTAAATTAGTAATAGGTCTGTACTGAAGAAGGCTTGCAACCCAGCTCTGCAGAGTATGGCAAAGCATTTTATGCTTGACAGGTTCTTCATCAAAGAGAAGCTTGAAGAAGGTCCGACTTTGATTCCCATAGTGACAGAAGATCAGTTGACAATCAGTTGCTTCTGACCTACAAGTCCTACCTTCGACAATTCTCTTAGCAAGCTTGGCATGTGCGACACAAATGATCAACTTGAAATAAATATATTGTGGTGCAATTCTTTTATTTGGAAGGCGTGTATTAGATCAAAGAAAGTTAGATGATATTATTCTCTTTTTCCATTCGTTCAATCTTTTTACATTTCACCTCTTTCAATTTTCCTTTTTTCTTATCTATTTCAACTGAGCTTCTTGAAGTACTCCAGTTAGAATTGATTATGAAGCCAACAATACAAGACAACTACGAAAGTTCTCAAGCTGAAAGGATAAGAAAAAATGAATGGTGTATTACATGATGCATGTAATACACTCATAAGTTTTCTGGCTTCTATCCTTAGTTGGAAACTTAAAATTAATCCAAATCCTTCCGCGAAGTACATAGTGATCAAGTTGTTCGGACTTCTGCTAACCTTATGATGAAGATATCCTAAAAAAGACCTCAGAAAGGATAACAAGAAGAAAAATGGATGAGGTAAACGGTACTGAAAACATTGGCACTATGCTCTGTGAATACTTGGGGGTTTCTCCGCATTGGTTTAATTTAAACCTTCAACATGATCTCACTTTTTGCTGATGAACCCGGCTGTTGTGAATTGTGATGATTAATGTACACACCCTTCAATATTTGTAAGACATCTTCCATGTTTTATATATTTTAGATGTGCAGCTATGTATATCCAAGGGTGAATTTTTTTTCAGTTCTTAACTTTTGTAATCTCTGCTTTTTATAACATCTGTTTTCCTCTTATTCTTTCCATTGACCCTGTTAAATTATTTCATGGCAGTGATGGCTGTAGCAAATGGTTTACAAGCATGGAAAATCTTAGAAGATTCAACCAATCATATTGATATTGTATTAACAGAGGTAGTCATGCCTTGTTTATCTGGCATTGGTCTCTTATCCAAGATTATGAGACACAAAACTTGCAACACCATTCCCGTGATTAGTGAGTATCAATCGTATTTTTTGCATTAGCTGTAGGAGCAGAGCAACATATCTTCCTTAATATTTTAAGCTATCGATTCTTGTTAACTGCTACACCTGATGAGTTTTTTGTGCAGTGATGTCATCTAATGATTCTATGGGAATAGTCTTTAAGTGCTTATCGAAGGGTGCAGTTGACTTTTTAGTGAAGCCTATTCGAAAGAATGAGCTTAAAAACCTCTGGCAGCATGTGTGGAGAAAATGTCACAGCGTGAGTTATTTTAACTACCCCAATTCCTAGATGAATATCTAATGGACCTGTTTAGGACTTCCCCTTCAGGGGGATACTGAAGTAGCATCTCTATACGACAGTGGGCATTATCCGCTGACAATTCCCACTAAAAAGCGGCATTGATTAGCGGTTGAAAGACACATCATTGAACCAGATTTCAACTAAGAATGTTTTTTAAGTCTCCACTACTTTTTTATTTAGCTGTTCTTCTCCTTGTCAGTTAACTACCAATTAAGACCCTAATCAGCACAGCATTTTCAATCTTCTGTTTTGCATTAATTTTCATCCTTTCAACAGTCCAGTGGTAGTGGGAGTGAAAGTGGCATTCGGATGGAAAAATCTACAAAGTCAAGAAGTATTCAAGGGTCAGAAAATAACAGTGGCAGCAATGATGAGGATGACAACAGTAGTGTCGGTTTGTATGCAAGGGATGGAAGTGACAATGGAAGTGGCACACAGGTATTACTTGTTTTTGGAAGGAAATATCAATAGTTTGGCATATCCCCTTTCACTAATCTTTCTAAAAATATCCATCGATCTATATAGTACAGGTATGATTGTGATGACTATTATTGTATTTCAATGTTTTGTTCACCTAATCAGTGGTTGCTTCGGTTTTTGTATTATTGATTTGCGGATTAGATTTTGCTGACACTTTTGTGCAGCTTTTGATCAGTTGACATGGTTCTTGTTAGATGTTTCTCATACTATAAGTACAGTGTCCAAATAAAGCTGGGGCCAGTCTAATGGTTGTAAAATACATGACCATGGGTTTTATACTTCTGATGAATGTGATTGTCAAAAAAAAAAAAAAAAGAAAGAAAGAAATGAGGTTGCCATGCAATTCGACTTGTTACAGGCCATGATATGCTTCGTGATGGCATTCATCCTTCCCTTTCTCCTGGCATTAAATAGTCAACCAGGTGTGAAATGCAAAGGGAGGTTTTAAGGTCCTCGTAGTATTGGAAGAAAGGGGGTTAGAAGGCTTGTCATTTGAAAATCTAGTGATGAAAAGCACCACTTTGAAAAGCTAATCTCTCAAACTCTATCACGAACTAGGTCTTCATACAAAACAAAAACAAACAAATATATGAAGTTCAATCGAGATGCATGCCTGGTCAGTTTCAATTGATAACGGAGGTGTTGACATCTTAAACAGCGTCATGATTCAATGTTGTGGAAAGGCAGATGGAGGTTGATTGAAACCATCAGGTTAAGTAACTTTGTTGGAGGAGACGAAATATGGAAATCATTCCGAGTGTGGAAGATGGAAAGAATAAAAAAAATTAATCTTTCTTTGAAGGGGAAGGGGGGTTTGATTGCTATATCTTCCTATTGTAGTGCAATCTCTGGTAGAGGTGGACTTGATTCAACTCCCTTCACACCAGGGTAGCGTTCAGGTCGAAAGTGTTTGGATCTGCAAAAGCTTTGTTCTATGAAAAATAGATGATAGCAAATGTGAAAATTAAGAAGATAGAACCTAATAATGAAGGGTTTCTTCTGACACACACCCTTCCATTCTAGTGTTAGTGTAGCACATGTCCAACTTTCGTGCTGTATTGTAAAAGAAACAGCTGTTGCCCCTTCGCGGACACATGCGCAAATCAGCCACCCTTTTCATTAAGAACTGGTTTCTTAGTAAGCTATGGAAAAGATTTTTAGAGTGTCTCACATAAAGAATGACAGTGGTCAACCTTGATATATGTTGAGGATGCAACATGTTCACTAAATATAGACTGTTCAGAACAGACTCACCTAACATTAGTTTTGCATAAAACATTTGGGGAGAGTATTATTGAAGGTGTTAGGCCTTGACCGCACTATGTTATCGTGCTTTTAAGTTTGCTTGCACCTATGGCATTGATTTAAACTCGTGCATCAGTATATTTTCGAAATGTCTTTGTCCAAGCTTACATTTTGTACACCAATCTAGCACTAGCCTCTTTCCACCGATAGGAAGTGATGATTGCTGGTTTCATGCCAAAATTTTCCATTTTGTAAAGCAGATGACTGTGCAGGCCCTCAGGAGGGAAACCCAAGGGTTAGGAAAGGCTTGAACTCTCAATTACCAAGGTCCAGCGAGAATGTTATGGATTTCTTTGAGCTTAGTTTAAAGGACTCATAATCACTTCCAGAAAACATTGCTGTAATTACCTGGACATGGTGGTTTCCCTCTAGGGGACCAACCTACCCCTACCTTATGAAAGAGTAAGTATACAAATGGATATCCTTTGACATTCTAGGTGGAGTACAAACAGATGCAATGTGCTTAAGTATATCTTTTATGCAATGCAAGCAATCATGCAGGTGGTTATGTTTAGTAGGTATGCAAGGAAGCATGCAGAACACATGGAGCCATGGGTTCTAACAAGGCTGTGCTTGTGTTTATGTAATATGTTTACCACACCTATGGCCAAAATGACGAGGGACTGTTCTTCCCATAGTTACCAGAAGCACATTTCTTACACTAGTAACACAAATTGAAGCCAGTATAAACCATTGATCTTTTGTTCTTGTTTGCAGAGTTCTTGGTCGAAGAGGGCTGTAGAAGTCGACAGCCCACTACCAATGTTACCATGGGATCAGTTGGCGGATCCCCCTGATAGTACCTGTGCCCAGGTTATTTACTTGATGCCTGAAGCATTTAGCAATAACTGGGAGCCTACAACAGCCACAGGGGAGTGCCACAAACATGATGATGAACTTGGTATGCATGGCTCTACTCTCAGCAAAATCACTGTTTTACTTCTCACTAGAATCACCTGAGTCTTCTTAGTAGCCTATTCTTTGCTTTTGGTAAAACACACTGTATCTTACTCCTCAGAAGATGTTGCAATGGGCAAAGACTTGGAGATAGGAGTTCCTGGAAATTCAAATTTGCAGATGGAAGATCCAAGAAAAGCAGTATTGAACAGTATGGCAGGTACTAATAAGGACATGATTTTTAATCTGGACACAAAGAAAGATAATCAGAAAACAGAAAAAATAGAACCGAAGGTCAACACTGAAACAGCAAATGACGAATTGAGGAATGAACCTGCTGATCTTATGGGTTCCATCACCAATGGTACTACTGATCATATAGAAAGTGTAACCGCTGCTCTTCCAAATGACCTGACTGCCGACATCAAAGATAAGATTACTTGTGATATTAAGGATATGCCTTTCCTCGAGCTTGGTTTGAAGAGAGAGAGAGATGTAGGAGATTATGGGCCCAATGTAGGAGAGCATAAGGTTTTGAGGCATTCAGGCCTTTCAGCCTTCTCTAGGTATGAGAACATAAACCTACAGACCTTTTATTTGGGAACCTTGATCTAAAAGTCCCGTAATAAAATATACCACATAATTCTCATGCCATGCAGGTACAACACGACATCAACTGCTAATCAGACTCCAACTGGGAATGTAGGCAGCTGTTCTCCGCTTGATAACAGCTCAGGAGCAGCAAAGACAGAATCAATGCATAATTTACAATCCAATTCAATTGCCACTCGAAATCAGTGTTCTAATGGCAGTAGCAACAACAATGACATGGGCTCCACAACGAATAGTGTTTTCACCAAGCCAGAAGTATTTAGTGACAAGCCAATGGCCAACTCTACTGTGAATGTCCATCCCTCTTCTGCCTTTCAACCTGTGCAACAAAGCCATAATTCTTTCCCCCAGCCTGTAATACAGGGTAAGGCCAATGCTGCTACGGTGAACACAGTCTTGGCACAACCAAGGGTCAAACACCAGAAGGTCCAAGTCCAGCACCACCATCACCATTACCATCATTATCACCACCATGTTCACAACATGCAAAACCAACAGCAACTGCCCAACGATGAGGATTTGCATGTGAAAAACATAGTTTCAGGATCTCCACAATGTAGGACGTCCAATGTGTTAGGTACACTGATTGAAGGAAACGCTGCTAATTACGGGAGTGCTTCTGGAAGTAACAATGGGAGCAATGGGCAAAATGGAAGCAGTGCGCAGAATGGTAGCAGCGGGCAAAATGGTAGCAGCACTGCTGTAATTGCTGAAGGAACAAACATGGTGAGTGATGATGGAGTAGCTGGAAATTGCGGAGCTGCTGGTGGAAGTGGCAGTGGCAGTGGAAGCAGGAGTGGGGTAGATCAAAATCGTGCAACACAGAGAGAGGCTGCTTTGAACAAATTCCGCCAGAAGAGGAAAGAAAGATGCTTTGAAAAGAAGGTATCTTGTATTTGGGCCAGATCTAACATATACATTGGCCAATCATGTAACTTATAGGAACTCCTTTGGGACTTCCCTTAAAAGGAATTTATGGTAAATTCACAGAATGAACTGAATGTCATTCAATTCATCTGGCTTTGTAAGAAATCCTTTATTTTGCACTTGCACACTGCCATACTCCTGCATGCATGCACGCACGCACGCACAGATACGCATGCGCGTGCACATGCTCGCATGCACGCACACACAGAAACAACTGTGTATTTACTCTATTGCATTGTACTATACAGTACAAAATATGCTCTAATTGTTTTATGATAATAAAAAATGATGGATTTTTTCTTCGTTATCGTGCCTTTCAGGTCAGATACCAAAGCAGGAAGAGACTGGCAGAACAAAGGCCACGTGTTCGAGGACAATTTGTCCGACAAGCAGTGAATGAAAACAAAACCAATGATTCAAATTGCAAGCATATCCCTTCTGCCTGATGGTGCGTTTGAAATTTTGCATGACGACTAGCACTAATTGCGTACATAGGAGGGGAGCATTTTGATATCATAGTGGAGATGTAGACTGAAGTGTGAGAGCAAGTATTTGGTCAAACTCCAAACTCATTGAATGAGGACTCTTGTAAGTATTTGTGTTGTTACACTTACATGGCTACCATTACGATGACTAGAACCACTAGTGTTGATCCCCAGAAGGGTAGACTTCTCTAATAAAATTCTTCAATTTGGTGTGTTGTCTTGCCTCTAAAATCTATTTCCAGTGGTGGATGTCTGGAAATCTCTATGCATTTTTTCATATATTTTTAGCTGTTACTGCTTACCTGCTTGTTTGTTCATATCCAAGCTCATCTGTTACTATCGCTTGATTGTTATTTGGGTTTTTATCTGTATCCGAATTTTCTGTCCCACCTTCCAACAAAGGAGACCTCATTAGGGAAGGAAAGATGGTATCAAAGGAAACCTCCGATTTTTCACAGCATAAACAGCTCACACCTGCTTGATTTGTATTAGACTAGTCAAATCGGCCATCAGTTTTCCCAAAATGAGAGTAGAACTATCTATTATTTCTCTCCTAAATCTTGTTTTAGACAGAAGCCTTGTACACTCGATTTGATTAGTGCACTACAGATCAAATGTTAATCCCAAATCTTATGCTAGGAAGGAATATACATCAATCTTCACTTCCTTGGGAGGCAAACAATGATTTCAAGAAGATGAGTCTAGCATTAATCCTATAGGGTACTAAACTTTCCTGATAGAAACGAAAAACTGGATACTTCATTTTAACATACAGAGAGAGAGAGAGAGAGAGGACTTACCTCTTGCTGAAGAGCTTTCAGAAATTTGGAATTCTCCTGCTGCTGATGGATGAGAGTTCAGACGAGGAAAATGTCAGGAAAAAAAAAAGAGGAAAAATTAGTGGGAAAGAAGGAAAAAGGTATTGTGATGAATGTAAAGATGAAAGTAAGAGAGATGAAGCAGGTTGTAGTGGATAGGAGGAGGAGGAGGAGAGAGAGAGAGAGAGATTTGGTCCTAGCCAAATGTTTGGGCAGAAAGAAAAGAAGAAGGAAAAACGAAAAGTGAGTTTTTTTACAGGAGGAAATGAGTTTGAGGGGTCACTATTATTAGTTGTGCCACTTGATGTTAACATGGAAAATGTGCTTCTCATATACCACACATGGAAAATGTGCTTCTTTACATGGTCAAATAAATGTTCACGTGTCAGATGTTTTAAAACTACTTAATCGGGAGTTTGTTTCCAAAACAACACCCCTTGAAACTTTTTTTCATATCTGAGAGTAATACTGATTCAAAAGTAATTTCTATAATAATGGTAGTACTCAATAAATTTAGGATAGGTGTTCATATTATAGAAGGACAAGTATTATGAATTATCAATTGACATGGCAGTAGGGCTCAACAGGGTCTATCAAGATTGGTACAAACAATAATGCCACGACACCACCTAGTGCCACGGCAGGCATTCCAAGGCCGCGATAGACACCATCACCGCGAAGGGCAGGACACATTGGAAATGGCAAAACACCACCACAAAGGTCCAGGAGCAACCTTGATGTGATTCGCCTCACCCATTGCAGAAACAAGACACAAGGTTGAGATTGTACAACCGACATAAATTAATATCCTTAACTTACTAGACATCATTGCTCGATTGAGACACTAGACTAATCGGAGGGGTCTCCACCTAGGAACAGGGCAATATAACTCTCCTCAAGGGAGAACCGAGCAATAGAGGCCGACGAGCATTATTATCAACTTCTATCTGGGGCAAGGTTTCAAAGATTTAGTCTGCTCGAATAAAGTGTATGACTCACTGTCTACTAGGATATGCTTGACTAAGATTTAGAAGGATTTCTAAAGTAACTTGGGTTATTAATTCATACTAACATATAGAATAATGAGATATGTGAACTGATGACTGAAAAATCAAAACTATGTAAATTTCCACTATCGAATACCTCAACAAAGGTCTCAAAAAAGTGTTTAGAGAGAGAAGGCAAACGCCAAGTAAGAGTGCGCGGGGGCATCACGTACATGACCCTCTCGAGATCATGATCTCATAGTGACCGGTCATGATCATTTAACCTTTGGAGCCCCTTTCGCCTCCACTGTTGCACCTTCCCCAGAGCCGCATCTAGATTTCATTTGGAGAAAACGTTACATTTGAGTTTACAACTTTTGCCCGTTACCATTTTTTACTTTTCATGTCCATCTCAAGACAATTCAGATAAAATAAAATACAGCTCGTACGCATCGTATTGCTAATAAAAATGAATTTTCACACTCAAAAGTTAGGTAAATCACTTCCCTGTGTGAAAGCATAAATATATATCATTTGTTTTTACAACTGAAATTCAAATGGAGGGTTGTTCAATTGCACCTCTTCAAGTCCTAGTCCCTGGATAGAAGTATTCTACACTATTTTCCTTGACCCTGAAATGGAAATTGCGCATCTTATTCCTAGAGATTCTGGAGCCATCACAAATTCCCTTGTTCATCACTGTCAACTGCACGAAACAAAGAAACCGAAAACTGTTGTGAGAAGAAGTTGGGAAAAAAAAGAGGTGATAAGTAATTCACACAAACCCTAGTTCCAACGGCCAGTCAGGGGCTGAAACTCCGAATCACATCTGGGATATCAGGAAATGCCACTCAAGCTAACACTTGATGAGCAGAAGAGTCATTTTCTTCTTCAATATGAATAGATTTTTTTCCTAAAATGCATGCACGTGTTATACTTTACTCATGCCTAATGGGAGTAGGACTACAATTAATATGCCATTGAAATTTCTTATCCAGGTCACTGAGTCACCATCTGACAAGATTTAATAAGAGCCACAAATTTTTTTTACTACTTTTAAAGATTTAATTCAGAAAGGCTAAAAAGACCTCTATGACCATGATACTCTGTATGTATATGTATGTACTCCGAAATGATCATTAGTGTTCTCATGGCATTGAGAGAGGTGGACTGGGTACAAATCTAATCTTTCTATTATTTGCACAAAATGAATGCCTTCAAATTCGAATCACCTACCAGATGTCAACCTGACACTTTAAGTGCACCAAGCAATGAAGTGATGAACCCTTAAAAGTAGGATGACTGTATTTTACTTTATCAGTTTTGACTTTGAAAAGATCAAAACAAAAACCTAAAAATATTAGGAGTGTGTGGTATAATTATATTGTTTGGATTAACAGAGGTAAAACCTTAACACAAAAATCAAAATTGTAAAAGAGTGCAGCATTATTCAATAAACCCTTTCAATTTTCAGATACAGGAAGTCAATATAATTATTCCAAAAAAACATTACTATCATACAAAGATACCTGTCCATGCACATCAGTTGCCAAACCAGTGGCCAAAGGTTCAGCTTTTATCAAAGTATCTGCAAGGTACTCCATTTGTAAAATGAGGGAAGGTCTGTCTGTTCTTGAATAAATATCCCGGTGATTAAGAGTAACTAAGGAACAACCCTGTGAGAACAAAAGGTAATGAACATTCGGCTCAACAACAAGCGTTTAACAAACTAAGTAGAGACCAAGAGTTCATAATTGACATGATTTCTTACATATTGGGATGTTAAAGTGTGGCAGTAATGCAGAAAGTTTAAGACATGATTTGAAGAACCGTGAGCAGCCACCTCCATGAGGGATATATCATCTATGATAACAGTAATGTTCCTCCCTTTAGTTGAGTAACCGTCTTCCACAGCTTTCTGAATTTTCCTATACAACAAAAGAATTCCACCTTTGCTAGCTGTTTCTCCATCTCCATCTAATCATGGATCAAGTCAAAACGGACTTTTGTGATTAAATATGTACAATCATTTTGTTTTCTGAAAAGAAACATGTCAGTTATTCATCACAAACTCTAGCCATTACTTCTTTAGAAACACACGAACTTATGTACACAGAATTATAATTCACAAATTTGGACCAATAAACATGAAGTTGTGAGTTCGAATTTGAGAGCAAGGGCAATCATTTTGGGAAACAATTAATGGATACTAAATTAAGTGTTACCCATGTTCATACTTCATAAACAGGGAGTTGCTAAAGGCATGAAGTTCCATGGCTTTGTGGATTAGGCACTGTGGATGGCACAATTCAGCTAATCTAACGTAGCCCCCAAAATTATAGTGTGGATTCAAACATGAAACACAAGGTAAAACTATGGACTAGGAAACCAATATACTGGCTGATATCTGCATCCCAAAACAAAATTAGATCCTCAGTTTATATGAATAGTATGTTTCTAGTGCCCATTAGATATTTGCAAGGGTATACATAAGGCTCTAATAGTTATTTTTACCTGTTAATCTCACCTGGACATTCCAGCATAAGCATATCCAAAAATAGGAATCTTTTATTATCTCTTTGCGTTAGTAAGTTGCAACCCTATCAAAGCAAAAAATTAGAGACGTATTAAACAGCATTCAGGAAAATAAATTTAATAACTAGCAGTATATTGATGATTACTCTAACAGCATACAATCACTAGGGGATTTGTATGACCAAGAAAACCATACTTAGTTAAGGTGCTGTGACTGTAAGACATCACTGCATATGCATCATGTTTTTCACAAGACGATGGTCAGGGTTATCAAAAGCTCAAAACCATTGGTGGCACCATGGCAGATTTATCACTTCTTATCATGCTGCATACATAAGTTGAAATCTTCCCTTTTGTTGCTGGCAATATTCTCATAGTTAAACAAGACATAAACCCACAAATTATTTTATTGGAAACTGCACAAAAAGAACAGACACTCAGAAATAATACTCAGCCAGTCAACAACACTTTAATACTGTAATGGAAGTATACCTTGGGACATGAATTCAAATATAAGTATAATTTGACATTTCTTCTTTTCTTTTCTCACAGAATTTTAGCTTCTTTTGGCATGGTGTTAGGCCAAGTGCCATTTAGGTAGTTTTGATAACATATAAGGTCTTGTATTTAAAAATCAAACTACAATGTCAATCAGAAAATTCAGAATATATACAGGACAGATCAACCCGAGTCTTAGATTCACAAGTGATATGCACATACAGAAACATATATCTGATACTTTTCAGCCATTTGTGTGAGATATGTATCTGCATTTTGAAGCAGCTCATTACGACATTCTCCCAGATGATCAGCATGATGGACCACAATATCCAGACAACTGCGTCAACATGTGTCTAAAGCTATTTAAACATGAGAAAAAATATCTACACCTGCTCACTCTGCATGGTTCTTCCGCACATTGCATTCAAAACATCATAACTACTCGCTTTGTATGTTTCTTCCACACATACAAACAATTTCATCAGACAGGAAAATAAAGTAAATTCTAGAATGCACACATAATTACTACTTCAAGTATCCAAGCTTCACCAATTATGAGCAACCAGAACAGGTCTTCCCTCCCCATCCCCTTCCCAACTCTTGTAGGCACACTACGCATAGAATCTCATATGGAGAATTAGTTGCTGCAAATATGCAAACTTTTGAATTTGAATTCTTACAAGTGTACCAATTAAAATTACTTTAGTGAGAAAAAGTAATTAGCTTTCTGCTGATTATCGTAATCTCCTCCATATTCCAGCTTGCACAGCTCACTACTTTTCCCTTGCTAATATTTGGATCAAGTGACTGCGATGATAATGTCCAATTCCAATGTGCTATACAATTATTCTAGAGACAGGAAGTTGGAAAATAGGTTGAATGTTCAGGATTTTTCATTTGGAACCTTCATCAAGTTTTGGCCCAATGAAAATTATTTAGTTAAACTATGTCATCTATATGAATATAGCTATAAATATTGTTTTAATTGTACCTCACATGAATGAATTACAACCCTTGCCCCTCCCCAACAAATCCTGGATCCACCAAGGCTTCAATCATCCAAGAATTATTGCAAATACCAACTTTACACCCAATACATGTAGTCCCCACATCCTAACGACGTAAAATCATGTAAATAACCAAGTACAACTTGCATGCCAACTAAAGCTACTGATTACACATATATACCACCCAACGCACCAAGCTGTCGAAGAACTTGGAAAGCTTCACATCTAGTACAGTTGACCAACAAGTGCCCCATTTTCCGAACAAACCCAATCAACAAGTCAACAGGATCATTCAGCCAACCAACCAATACAATCCTATTCAGTGTATTAACCCAAAATCCCAACAAAAAAAATCTGCATTTTAATCTCTATATCACCAAAAGCACAAGCGCCACAGAGACATTGTTCAGTTTTAATCGACTAGATGATACAATTTCAAAATTGTGCTGATTCAAAAACAACCCAACTCATAGAAACACATATTTCCATCCCAAAATCACCAGGAAAATAACAATACAACGTTTGTCATGAGAGAGAGAGTACCATTTTTCGGAGAATGCGATCGTAGTGAGAAAAGGGTTGAGCGAAGGCGACGAAAATGACGACACCAGACGATTGAGGGGAGAGAGAGCGCTTGATGAGATGATGAAGTAAAAATGAGCCGCTAGTCTCCACGCAGTCCTCGATGAGCACGACTCGGCCTCTAGTGTTCGAAGAAGGTTCCGTCTGATCGATATCGTTCAGTCCTAGAGCTTCATCGAGTAAGTTCACCGTTGAGTTCATGACGGATTGAGACACAAGCTTCTAGGGTTTACGGTTTTGATCGAACGAAGGAACAAAAAAGGCGACGGTTTTGGTGTGTGTCGGGAAACTCGGTTCATGTTGCGCGTTTGGTTTGTGTTAAAAAACATGTTATTATAATTCGTTTATTAATTTTTGTTAATAAATCATGTTATATTGAATTTGTGGTATGATATTTTTAAATTTGAATTAAAATAGTCTAAAAAATTTCTCTAATTTTGAACTTAAACCTATACCGAATTAAGGTAAAACTTATTTTTAACCTGAATTGAAGCAAACTCTCTATCTCTTTTTGCCTCTCTTTATTACGCTGCTTCCATCATTGACACTTCTTTCACCACCGAAGTTTTCACAAATTATTTGAAGGTCAATAGGTAAGTTTTTTTTTTTTCTTCATCTTCTTGATTTTTTATATTTTTCAAAACCTTAATCTGACTCATCTTTCATCCTATATAAACCCTAAGTTTATCTATCAAATTTTTTTTTAATTTTTTAGAGTTAAACAGTATCGGTAGTACAATTTCAAATTACCGATTCTTCTTAAAATTTTAAACTTTTATTACCCACAAATTTAAAAAAATTGTCATTTTATTTCTTCAATCTTTTATTTTTGTTAAAAACATGTGATTTTGTGTTCTACAAACTAGGTCCATGTCAAAATAGTTATATTTTTTTTTTCTTTATCTGGATTTATAAAAAAAATGATAAGAGATTAGAACAATCTCATAATTCTAGAGTGATTTCTGTATTCCCATGTAGTATTTTATACATATTCATTTTTTTTTTTTGAATTACCCATTTGTGGAGAGATATGAATATTTCATTTATTTTTTCAAATATCATGATTTGAATAACACAATACAATGAGTTTTGTGACAATAAAGAATTTTTAAAAAAAATTTGAATAGATATTTGAATTTGTTCATTGGAGTACTATATAGTCTATACCAAATAAAGTTTTTTACTCAAATTTGAATTATGGTTGGAGATGCTCTTATATATAAATCGCGTAACCCTTACAGTAGTTTAATGATCGAGTCTGTCATTTGATAACCCAAAAATCTCAGGTTCAATCCTCTCTCACACCTCTTAAGACTAGTCACTCTTGTCCTTTTGAGGACATAATTTAGATCAATTCAAGTCACGGTGGTTAGTCGCTGAGTTCGAGAGTGTAATCGGAACAAGTTTGAATATTCTGTTGATGGTGTATGAATGTGGATGAGCAATAATGGTGTATAGATTTATTCGCCCAATTGGGTTTGAGCTACTGGGCTCGTGTAAATGGTGTATTAGCTTTTAGGAAATAAGGGATGCTTCACACAATAAAATTATAGTGGTTCTCCTACTTGGGAGCTCGACTAATCCACTTTAATTAGAGTCTCTTGCTCTTTTGATATGTATTAATGGTGTGTGTGATTTACAAAGTGTTTTTGATATCACTAGAGTTACTTGTCTCATACTGGAGGCATTGTACAATATTTATAGTCTAATTCCTAGTTCTATGGGATCTGTGGCGAGATTCTCGCCTTTCTTCCATGGTGTCTTGCTTGATTCTAGGCGACGGTTGTGGTGGTTTAAGGATTTTGTGCCTAGACTGGAGCTTGTTACCGTTGGGACGATGCCTTGTGTATGCCAGTTATCCTCCACTTATCTACTTCAGGATGCAGGTGGAGGGAGTTCTAGGTCTAGACTTTCGAGCTCATACTCCATGAGCTAAGCTCCCTTCCTAACCTCAACTCTTGAGCTCAGACTTGGAATTCTTTCTTAGTATCATCACCTATAGTATATATACATGAATCGTATATAATTGATATATAATAAATTGTATAATTTATTTTTTTATTGATTTCACTCATACCTGATTTGTTTATTAATTATATCATAATTTACAAAACGAGTCACTTAAGAAAAAACTAAACTCTCTAATTTCTTATTACTTTTTAGTGTCTCCACTTATTCGTTTATTATAGTAATGAGAGGAAGGGCTACAACCCACTAGTGATTAAGACTGGAGTCCGTCTGGTAAACTCTGTCGCAGATAGGCCTTTTAACATTGGACCAACATCAACCAAGTCTCTTATTTTTCTATTTTCATTTGTTATAATTAGTGCATTACACGTAAATAAATTTAAATAAAAAAATTTTTTATAAAAAATTTGAATTATGAGTAATTAAATTAATGAATAAAATAAGTGTCGAATAATTAATTCGTGTTTTAATTATTTATTTATTCTATAAGTCTTTGAATAATTAATCTATCATTTATTTAGGTATCTCTCCAATCTTTTTACTCATTTGTCTATCTAATTATATTATAGAATTATTAACTTTTCTTTTGTTAAATAGATTGATTAGATTGCTTATAATATTATTATATTATTTCATATTAAAAAATATAATATAATTTATATTTGATCGCGGAATTTTTTTTTTTATAAAATAGAGCTTCAAGCATCATAGGATTATCTAGCATCCCAACTAGGTTAGGTTGACATCCCAGGAAATCCCGAATCATGTGCTATAAGCTTGAGTATTATTAATGAGAGAAAAAGAGAATACATGGAAGAAGTGAAAAAATAAAAAAAAGTCTGGTCTCGGTAGCTTATAAAATGTCACAATCCAGCTCACAGCGGACTCAAAACCACCCTATGGTTTTGAGTCCGAACGAAGGGAGGCTATACATGTCATTACAGAGTTGAGTAGCAAGCATTGTAGGTGCAGCCCACCACCATTGAAAACCTGAATAGGATAAACTAATATTTGTACATTTATCGACTACAACATTTCCTTCTCGAAAGATATAACTAAAACGGAAGTTCATATGCTGCAAATAATACCTGCAATTCAGCCAGCGAATTTTAAGGGACCAAGGTGGGTCATAAGATGGATTAACCAAACATTGAATGACAGAGCGAGAGTCAGACTCTAACCAGAGGTATCTCCAACCCTTCTGCTAAGCATGTTCAATACCAATAATAACTGCGACCAATTCAGCATAGAAAATAGTTTGCACTCCCAAAAAATCACTAAAAATTCCCTTAACAAAACCCTTACTATTTCTATAAATACCAACAGAAACAGTCGGCCTAGAATTTCCTTTGGCTAAACCATCCGTGTTTAATTTAATCCAACCAGTAGGAGGGGGATACCACTTTACAGGAATAATTGAAGGGACTTTTCTATATAGACCTTGAACACCAATAGATCTAAGAATCAATAGATCATAAACAGAATTATCCATTATTCCAACACTACTTTTACCAATAGTAGAAAGCTTAAAAAGAATATGAAGGCAAGATTGTTTTAGAAATGACTTCTGGCCTTCAAAACGACATGAATTACGAGCATACCAAATAGCCTCAAACACCAAAAGCACTGCAGCTATCCATAGATGGAATACCTGAGAGCTCATAGTACGAGAGAGAATATGCTGCCAAAAATCCAAAACATAAATATTCTGGGTAGGAACATATGTAAAACCCGAAAAAAAAATATATATATTATTAATCCTAATAAAAATAAAAGGGTACAGCCGGTGAGAAAGAGAGAGTGAGAAAAAAAAAAGAGAGTTTTTATTTTTTTTCTCTTTTCTTCCTTCTCAGATCTAGGAAAATTTAACCGTTTAATCGCTTCGGGTCAAGAACTAAAGTTGCTCTACTCAGCGAGAGCTATGCAACCACACCAAAGATCGTATTTTTCTTCGAAGGTATATCAAAGCCGATAATCTAGACCTAAAACTTAGGAAGCTAAATTTGGGCTTCCTTGGCGTTCTTGTAAGTGGTCTCACGCTACGAGAGGTAGGGTTTCCCCTATTTAGATTTAATTTCAACTTAAAATATGACATATGGAATGAGTAGATTATGAGTGTATATCACATGTTAGGTCTTGACTAGTGGGTCAAATATAGAATTTATAATTAATCTTGTGATTAATAAAATTCTATTGTGATTAACTTGGTATAAGTTAATGTTTGTAGTTTAAAGCATGTTAATTGTATGTTAGCATTACTTTATATTTTAATGGAAGATCAAGATTAATAAAATTATTAACTTGTTATATGATTGTGAAATAATATATATATGTTCAATGATTATTTAACATATGATTATTTTGGTGGACTTGTGCTTATGTTAAACATGTTATCATGTTGCAAGTCATAGCATACTAGTTGTGTAAATTGATGTGCTCTTTAGGTGTTTGATTAAATGCCTAGGTGAATACAAGTATGTTAGTTGAGTTGATTATCTTACATAACATGCTTGAGATCGTGTTAAAATGTCATTATATTGTATTCATTATGTAATAGACATTGTATTTCATTATGCATGGGTTGCACTACATTCATGGACATTGACATGGGTGAGAGTGTATGCATGGTATGAAATCAATCACCACGTAGGTGGTTGAACGTGGACTCGGAAAAGTCGCACCAAGGTTCGGTTGAGTCGCACGAGAAATTAAATGGATAAATGTGTTGGGGACAGCACGAAAGGCTAGATTCTCCCTCGGGTGCAAGACCCGCTTATTTGGTTTATACACTTTCCGGCGGTGAAATTCCAAAAAAGTGTAACGGCGGAAACGGAGCCGCAGGTGGGATGTCCTGAAGATCCGTTGATGGTTGGTGTCCCATTGGTGTAATACCATAAATCATCTCCCCACAAAGACACAAGAAAATGAATTAATTAGCATTGAGTGTACATAACACCAATGATGGGGGCTTGGAATGCTCGGATACATACGCATGACATTGCATGTGTTATGGGAGCTCAGGATGGGGCTCGGGGTTGGTATTGCTTGCGTGAGTCTCATCTCATGGCATGACATGATCTATAACATTCAATCATAATAGACATATTTAAATGAATGTATCAAATGATCGTTGCATGTGACATTCCATATTCATTTAGGTTGAGAGGTATTCTCTATAGGAGTTACCCTATTGAGCGTTAGCTCACCCTTTATGGGAACATTTTTCAGGTATCGCACAAGCTTCCACCGAAGGCGAGGCCATGGGCCCGCTT